GTCCTGTAGACAGTGACCACTGCTGCCCCTCTGCCGTCCTGTAGACAGTGACCGCTCTGCCCCTCTGCTCTCTCCCTCTTCTTTGAAGTGTTAGAATTAGAATTTGCTCACAGAAGACAGGGGCTCTACCACTGAGCCACGCCCACAGCCCCACACTGGGGGATTCTAGGCCCTTGCCTCCCACCCCTTCTTTGTTCAATCTCCTCTCTTCCTATTCCTCTTGCCTCCCATCTGTCTGGGATGGGACCTTTATAACAAATGGGAACAGTTCCTCAGGGGATACCAGGACCCTCAAGGTTATGTCCTCTGAACTCTACCCATTTCAAGATTTGCCTAAACTGAGCATGGGCACTGGCAGGCGGGAGCCCCCAGGACTGGAAAGACTCTAAGGATAATCAAGAGAGAGAGTGTGAGGCTGACGGGTATGGATGGCCTGGCTCTCCCCTGCAGGCCCCTTGAGAACTACTAAATCTTTTGTGCCTACTGGCTGCCTCCTCCTGGAGCTATTAGCTTTCTGACCTGTTTGCTGCCCTTGTTCAAAAGGAGCCTAGGGCAGCTATAAGGGATGGCCATGCCTCTGACCTAGAAAGGCCTCAATTCTAGTCCAGGGGAGTGTTTGCTTGAACCTTTGTGGTCCCCAGGCCTGCTGCCTGACCCCACAGGACACCCCAAGGGGACTGTCCTTTCTCTGTGCCTGACCTGCTTCCAAGTTGCATACTTGCATCTGGTCCCTCCGGAGCCCTGTAAATGAGGGCTCTTCTCGTTCCGACCTCTTCCTGCAGACTATTTTTACTCGCCTAGTTTCCTCCACTAATCATCTTGCAGTCTGTCCTGGTTAAGGAGACAGGGGATTAGAACTTCCTGCCTGGAGGCTTTATTGTCTGTAGACATTTTTCAGTTAGCCCCATTTTCCAGTTAATGAAAAAAGAGACAGAAAGGTGAAGGAACTTTTCCCAGGTCACACAGCTTGTAAGGGATGAAGCCAGGATTATGGACACAGGCAGTTGTGTTCCTAAGTCTAAACTGTGTTTGGTGATGGAGTCCTACCCCCTAGGCAGATCCGACTATCGTCCATTGATCAGAGGTCTTCAATCCTAAGGCATTCTGTAACAAAGAGTGGAGCAATGTGATTGTAAGGTGTAGCTCAGTTTCAGAGAAATCCAGACCAGAGCAAGTGAGCACCTTGGAATTGATGAAATGTGCGTCTGGTCTCAGGATCTCTCTGTACCTGGTAGAGGGTGGGTTCTCCTGGACCCTCCAATGCTCTGGTGTTGTGTGTTACTAGCTCCCATGTTCCCATGGTAACCAGGGAGCAAGCATCTCAGAGATGTCTGTCCTCGCAGAGCTGCCCCTGCTGGGCCTCAGAGGGACCAGATGTCATAGGCAGATCTGCTTCCCTAGCTGCTCTGTCCCAGACACTCAGGGGTTTCTCCCCAAAACAAGAAGCTTCAGAGAATCCTACAAATCAAGGGAAGTTGTGGCAAGGAATGGCAAAGAGGGGTTTGGGGTAACCCGTTCAAAGCAGCTCTTCAAAGCAGGGCCTGGCTAGGGTTCAGTCAATCCACGCTGTAACAAAACAGCTGAGGCTGGTGAGTTAATATCCACAGACAGTTCCTTTCTTGAATTCCTGGAGCATTCTACACATGTATGGCTATACCCGAATCCCAGTTAGTCACCTACTAGATGTAATAAGCCACACAGGGATGCATCAGTCAACACAAAACTAGGCCCGTAGCAATGTCCTTCACTCAGCTCTCCTCATCAAACCAGGGTGAAACTGAGAAACCGAGGCCCGTGGGAAGGAATCCTCGTATAGCTATCATTGGCCATGATACACAGAGTATCATCTCTACCTCCCTGCCTGCCCGAGAGACACAGAAGAAAACGCAGAGGCAGGAGGTCTTCCCCGTGGCCTAATCCACACCTCTTCCTCTTCCTTCCAGACTATGCAGAATTCATTTTCTTAGGACTCTTTATGTCCGAAATGTTTATAAAAATGTACGGGCTCGGGACTCGGCCTTACTTTCACTCTTCCTTCAACTGCTTTGACTGTGGGGTGAGTACTGCGAGTTCTCGGGCTCTTCCGGGCTCTTCCTGACGGCAATGGCTGATACCTGGGGACTGCACATTAGAGCGGAGGGAGCCGGACATGGGTCACGCCTTCAGTCCTAGACCTGGGTCTGAGACAGAACTGTGAGTCAGGGGTAGCCTGGGCTGCCTAGTGAGACTCTGAAACAAAGTAAAGGTGGAAGCAGAAGGAGGCCGACGTCACCTCTGGAGGTGAGGTGAGTGGAGGAGGAGAGAGGCACGGAGGACACAGCTGCTGTCACCGGCAGGGACAGTTCAGGCTGACTTGGGAGAGTTCCAGTGGAGAGCCAGCAGCTGTGCTGAGGGCATGGCAACGGTGGAACGCATTTCCGTCTTAAAAACTCAAGGCAGCCGGGTGGTGGCGCACACCTTCAATCCCAGCACTCGGGAGGCAGAGGCAGGCGGATCTCTGTGAGTTCAAGGCCAGCCTGGTCTATAGAGCAAGACCCAGGACAGGCACCAAAACTACAGAGAGAAACCCTGTCTCAAAAAAAATAAAAAATAAAGGTTACAAATCACCTAATTCCATTTCTGTGAAGAGACCAAGGAGGCAGATCCAGAGATTGTCAGAGACCATCAGCACTGGGACTCAGGAGGGGGAGGGTGGGTGGGGCATCTCTGAGGCTGCAGGCTGACCTGGAGTTGTGCTGCAGACAGAAGGCACTTGTGGATGCCTCTGAGCTGTGCACCCAGAGGGCTGATTTTGTAGTGTGTGAGTTTCGTGTGTGTGTGTGTGTGTGTGTGTGTGTGTGTGTGTGTGTG